CCGAGAGGAACATTGCATAATGTGTGGTGAGATGTGCCCCCACATATTGTGCAACTTACAAATGTGTAAATTAAGATTAATGGTTGATTAAATACAATGGGGCTGTTTCAGTAATAGCCTCCTGCCCCAAGTCTTTGGTTTGATGAGATGATAGTTAAGTAAATAACCTCAAATAATAAACTCTAAGAAATGACTCTCTATCCTGCTAAGCCCTTAATGAACAAAGCACAAAGCTCAGCTACAGTATCTCTCAAATGCCAAGAGGGTTTTAAAGAATGTAAATGTGTCACAAAGCAACCAGTATGTCCAACGTAACTGGGGGTGTCTTATTTCTTAAAGTTCAGGTTGTAGGTTTTTCTAAGCTTGTGATGCATGTGGTATTTCTATGCTGTGAATGGGAGGTCTGAAAAAGTTTTTAGCTCACAGAGAAATATACAATCTCAGCTCACGCCTAGAGAGAAACTCAGACTTTCCTCTCTAGTTATGAAAACCAATAAAGTTCTCAGAATTTTGTTGCTGTTGTCGTTTCATAGATCTCTGGAAAACACTCTGGCGGTGCTGCTGTGTAAAGGTTGGACAGTTAACCAGAAGGTCAGTAGGTCAAACCTACCATCTACTCTGCAGGAGAAAAAACGAGGCTAGCTCCATTTGGAAAGCTTTACAACCTTGGAAACTCTACAGAGGGTCACTAGGTTGGGGTTGGGCGGAAATCTCTAAAGCTAAAAGAGTAAAGATCTCAGCCACTTGCCAACTTCTCCTTCAAATGCTACTAGATATTCTCCATTGCTGTAGAACTACGCAGCTTTAGTAGCAATGCTAACAGTATACTTGAAGCTCTGTCAAACATCAGTTTAAGACACGGCTCCAACAGTACCCCCTTGAAGTAACTCACTGCCACGGAGTAGATTCTGAATCATAGAGACCGTATAGGACAGGGTCGAACTGGCCCTGTGGGTTCCCACATTGTAACTCTTTCAGGGAGTAGAAAACTGAATCTGGGATTAACTTGACAATAGTAACTAGAAATGTTAGATAGGAAACATATCCAGGAAATGAATAAGTTGGAAAAGGCGGGAGAATGAGTTACAAGTTGAAGAATGTAACCAGCGTCACTGAAATGTAAACGTTAAGTTGGTATGGTATGTGATTTGCTGAGTATATATTCAACAGCAATAAAAATAAAAATAAGTTATCTTTAGAAATAAAATATGGCTCTAGAATTTACTGGCGGTATAGGCTGGAGCTGGCAATTGAGGTCCCTGGCCATCGACCCGTGCCCATTGCTTTTGTACAGCCCTGGTGGCATAGGGCCTGCACACTGGGCTGCTAATGGCAAGGGCTGCTGTTCGAAGCCACCAGCTGCTCCATGAGAGAAAGATGAGGCTTCCTACTTCTGTTACGAGTTAAGAGTCTCAGAAACCCACAGGGGCAGTCTGCCCTGTCGGACTGGGTTGCTATGAGTCAGAATTGACACCATGGCAGTTAGTTTGGTTTGGGTGAAGGAGAAAAGCATGATTTTTACATTCTTATATTGCTAGAAACAAACAAACAAAACAATACTAAGCGGTGCATGGGAGTTCTACATAACTCAAACTAGAGTCATAGAGCTTCATTAGAATAGGGCCTCACTGGCTACTCATTTACACATGCATTTGCTTTTGAGCTACTATGTTAGAGTGGAACAAAGACTGTAAGGTCCACCAAGCCTAAGATATTATTGAGAAGTCTGCAAATTACTGCTGGACATGTAACACATTCAAAAAGCCTCTTGTCTTCCCTTTGAAATGGGCTCAGCAGTAACTGTTGAGTTGTGATCAGGATTAAATTAAATCAAGCCGATTTGGTCTTAAATAAGCGCCCACCCCTGCCAAAAGCAAGTGCGCTCCATACAAGGGAACGCCTGCACCTATTACTGATATGCTGAAAAGACAGCAAAGGGAACATCACACACAACACCCAGGAGATATGGGCAAAATGACCATCAAGATGTTATGAAGGTGTTAAAGTAAGTGCTTTATCAGAGCTCTACTCTATATTCTGATCTGTGAGATTTCCTATAGTGCTGATCACTGACTGTCCCTATCAATATTTAAATTTTTCACAAGGCCATGTCATGCACCTCTAACTGAATTATGAGCTCTGAGGGACAGGAGTATCCGTTATGTGGTTTTCGCATTCCTGGGGTCTGCAAGATGCTATATTAATGTCTGAAGCACTCCTTTATGGGAAGAGCCCTGTCATTAATCTCACTTAGGAGACAGCCCAGAATTGGGAAAGAAGTCTCACGGATTTCATCACCTCCTCATTTACTTGTGGGCAATCCACTTCAGATCCATGGCCAATATCCACATTTAGCAAAACTGAGGAGATTTTAAGGACGTTAGATTTCCAGGAGCCACGGTGCGATATACCGGCTATTAGTAGGCTGGGACTCCCAGAGACCCTGTAGGATACAGTAGAATGGCCTCAGAGTTTCAAAGACTGCAACCCTTATGGAAGCAGGCAATCACTTCTTTCTTCGGTGGAGCAGCTGGTGGGCTCGATCTGCTGACCTGTGAGTCAGCGGCTGAGGTCTAAGCACTAAGCTATCAGGGGGGGTCCTTTTAGAGAAGCTCTGAGATGATATGGCATCTTTAGTAGGGGAACTTTTCAAGTATTCATTTGTTCCAATTTCTTTTGAAAATACTCTTAATTCAGAGACTGGGCAGCTATACCTCAAAGGTTTTATGAGTTCCACATACAGAGATAAACACTAGTAAGCAGTAATGCATTCTCAAAAACAGATGCAGAGTGTCAAAGAATTTAAAACCATGCAATCAGTTGGACACCCAAGTACCCAAAAGGCGGGGGGCGCTGGAAGCCATTGAGAGATACTTTATGTGGCCGACAGATTTATTATTAGCTCTACAATATGGAGGAGCTAAGGGATATGCTGTTTGAGACATACTCTTGGGATGTGAAAAACTATACAGGTTTTATTACTTTAGTTAAGTGTCAGGAAGAGCTTAAAGCGGGAAGCTACTTCCAAACAGGGATATTCCCCTCTCACTGCAAGAAAACCCTAACACTTTAAAATGAAAGATGGATTTTGTCCAGAAACGTTTTCATACTTTTCCCGTAGGACTAGTTGTGAAAGATACAACTGCATAGCTGAGTTCATTTGTTTTTATGAACTGCAAGTTACGGTCCATATCTACACTCACAGAAGCATTTTAGAAAATAACTTCCATTAGGAGTTATTATATGATGGAACAAGCAAATGCTTTCAGACCCCTTCCGAAAGGGGAGGCGTGTAGTCTGTCAGTACGATGTTCAGCAATCCTTTACTGGGAGGTCTAGGCATCAGAATGACTTGGATCAGATGAACTGCAGCTCTGCAATGACAGATCAGGAGCGCTGGTGCTGTCCTGGTTACGAGCTGGGCTCTGGTCTGAAAGGTCAGCAGTTCAAAGGCAAAGAGAAAGATGGGGCTTTCTACTCCCATAAATATCTGCAGCCTCGGTAACTCAGGGGGCAGTTCGACCCTGGCCGACAGGGCTGCTACGAGTCGGCCCCAACTCAGTGACAGCGAGTTTGGAATGACAGCTGAGCCTATCAAGTGCACACTCACGGTCACCATGCCGAGAGGCCAGGCGGATAACAAGACGGCCTCCACAGGGTCTGGGGAGCGGGACTTCCTTCATGCCTGTGTCCTCAGATCACACCTTCCCTCCACCTTGCCTCAGAGGTACTGAGATTTCGTTATCAAAATGGAAAAGCTGGTAAACAATTCTGTGATATCACCAGCTGGCATTAGTTCTGTTTCCTCTCCTCTCTAACCCGATGGTAAGTTTCCTTATTTGGATATTTTTTAAAATGTTATGGACATGAGCGTGCATGTAGGATCAGAAACGTCCTTTCGTATTTTCTGGAGGACAAGCTTACTATGTTTGGAAGTGGAGTTTCTCTCGGTATTTGTTTTCAGTTAGGATCTTTATGAAGAGTTGTTAAGAGGGAAGCTTTACTGGGGGATGGAGGCTAAGACTGAGATGGTCTGTCACGATTTTCACCCACATTTTGGTTTGCTTCTTGATGGCACCATTTGCATTAAAATAGCAACACAATCTAAAGAGGAATAGCAACCTTCCTTGGACCATTTACCATAACCAGGTATTAATTTCTCAAACAGCATGATCTTCAAATGTTGGGACTTATTCCTTCCTCTATAAGATAATAAAACACTGAAAAGTACCCCCCAAAAGGTACCCTTTAAATCAAGAGGCTTCTCTGAACCTACTGTTACTGAATTGTCAAAGCTCCCCAGGGTCGAGTTTCTGAGAGGGTACCTCTTTACGGGGGCAGGCAGCCTTATTTTTCTCCCTAGAAGTGCCTGGTGGGTTTGCATCACTGACCTTGTGGTTAGCAGGCTAACCACAGTGCTAATGGCTCCAAGCGGCTGAGAGATCTGGGATTAATAGGAAATCATTTAAAGGAAGGGTAAAGGGAGTAAGGACCTTTCACTTCCGCAGACATCATCCCTGCACTTTCAATGCCACCCACATATCCAATTAGTATGCCACAGTTACTAACCTACTTTCTGAAAATAAATGACTTAACCATGGGAGGTCAGTTAATTCTTTTAAGAGAAAAGGTTACAGCAAATCAGCTATCGTGCGTAGAGCTTACATGTCTATGTTCCAGCCAGTCAATTACTCTTTAAAGCTATTAGTCATCCTAACATATGACTTAATTATTGCTGGAAACACAACTCAGACGCACTGTAAAATAATCATTTGAGTAATGCAGTAATAAAACAGTAACAGACTTTGTAAAGTTCTACGCCAAGTCACCTTGTCCTTTCCAAGGGAGAGAGAGATGCCCACATTTCCTTTCTCACTCTTTCCCTGTGTAGCAAACGATGACACCTCTCTAATCTATCGACTTCCTCAGATTTAAATGGGAAAAGCAGCTCGTCGGTGTAGGGGCCCACACTGCTGTCTCTTATGGAGCAGAGGTGCCAACTTGACCATGAATACTGCTGCTTTAAGGACTTACCTTCTCTCGACTACTGTGAGCAGTCAAAGACCTCTGCGCTGCCCCACGGAGAGCTGTTCGGTAATTATAGAAATTGCTGGAAGGGTCCATTTGATGCTGTAGACACGACAGATTATAAACGGGTTAGTGCTCAAGTGCAAGGAAGTTTACCCGACCACACTTTAACAACACATAAAATGTCAAGCAAAGTCAGAGAACTCATCAGGGCTATGATTTCTTTCTCATCCATACACATATACACATGAAACACATTAGAATACAAAGTTTGCCCTTCTTGAGTTTTGCCTTCCTCATATAACCTGATGTCCCTGTTCACTAATGTTAAGCCTAGATGAAATCCCGTCCAGGGTAACTATTGATATTACACCTGAAACTGGTAACTAATAGTCCAACTCCAGCATTCGGAACCTGACTAGTTTCATCACGGAGCCAGTTGATGGTTAACCATGAACAACGCTCTTTAGTAAACTTGTTCTTTGTATTTTGTAGCCAATCATTCACAAATAACTAAGACATATTGCTTCCACGAGAGAAATGAAATTTATTAGACAATATGAATACATACTATACCACACAATACACGTAATAATAATTATTAATTTGAGAGACTACTTGGGAAAGAATCTTTTCTTATCTTCATGAGAGATGAAAAATACCAGCACATCAAGGTAAAATCACATTTTTATGCAAGTAATTTGTGGGGGTTTTTGCCAAATGCTCAGCAAATTCCTACTCCGCACCACCCCCACTACTTTCATAATTGCGCTATGCTGAGTTTATACGTGGGTGAGATATGTATGTGGGTGCATTCTTTGTGAGTAAATATATTACTGAGCATGATCCAAACACAGATCTCTTTGCCCACATTTTACAACCCTCAGAAAGAGGCGGGGGAAGGCCTTTTCCCACAGGTCGGCAAAGAGGTTGAGAGGTTGAGAAAATGGTGAGTGACATTTCTCTCTGGGCTGAGGAACTGCTGCCCAGGGACCCCAGAGAGAAACAGGGCCAGGAGGTCCCCAAGAAAGTCAAGTGCTCATTTGTTCACAGCCCAGAGTCAATCCCCACATGCAATGTGATGGGACCAACATATAACACATCATGGTTCCTCCAGTCGACGGACCCCTCCCCAATGGAAACCTGTGGACTAAAATGACTAGTCCACATCCTGGTTTCTTTCCCCAATTCTCACCCATCTTTTCTTCCCCTGGGTCTGCCATAGGTGCACTAAGGGGACAGATCACATGTAACCAAAATCCACGGTCGTCGAGTCAATGCCAACTCATAGCAACTCGATAGGACAGGGTAGAACTGCCCCTGTGAGTTCTGGGACTGTCACTCTTTAGGGGAGTAGAAAGCCCCGTCTTTCTCCCTCGGAGCGGCTGGTGGTTTCAAACTGCTGACCTTGCAGTTAGCAGCCCCACACGTAACTGCTACGCCATCCGGGCGCCCAGATCACATTTAAGAACTCCATATCCCACTGTAAAATGTTACTTCACAGCAAAATACCAGCCTCACATACCTCAAGGATGTCAAACTTGGCAGTCTTCACTTTGGCCCAAGTTTTCTTTAGTCGAGAGACGGGGCTCATATTCATGCCAGCTTCCCATGCAGAAATAGAAGGGAGGGGTGGAAAAAACAAACATGAAACACAGGACTAGGACAGCCTTTCTAACTAACATTCTTACGGGGTGCTCGTTAGTGATACTAAAATTTCTAAACATTAATGATGCGTTAGAAACTCAGAGGTCTGGTATGCTTTTCTCGCCAATTCCCTCCACGCTTGCAAATAATGAGCACTCTGCTCCCACCTACTCTGAGCAGAGGTCAGCAATGGGCCTTTAAAGGGCCGGACAGAACACAGTTTGAGCTTTGTGTCATAACCCCGCAAACCCTTGTGCGCTTCTATTACAGTCTGAGTGCAGCCATGGGGACACAGGCAAGATCCTGTACCAGCCTAAATGATCCCATGTGGTAAGCTCACACACTGACATTAGTATTTTAAGAACTATCATAAAATTCTTTTTCTTCTTCTTTTTTTGAAAAGAAACTTAACTGATATAAAATGCACATCACAGGGCACACAGAGCGTACAACTGGGGGCATTTTGACAGAGTATGGTCCCGTGTCCTTCCACTAGGTCTACGTTCAGTGGCGTTGCTGCATTCACTGTGTCCACCCATCTCATCGAGAGCCTCCGTTTTTCCAGTGACCCTCTACTGTACACAGCATTTGGACCTTCTCCAGGGACTAGTCCCTCCTGACAGCATGTTCAAAATCACACGACAAACAGACTTGCCACCTTCCCTTCCAAGAAGCATTCTGCCTAAACTTTTTCCAAGATACGTTTATTCTTCTGGAAGTCCCTGGTATATATTTCACACACCAACCACGAGCCTAGGCCATGCCTCCGGGTTTGTGCTTAGGTGCCACTCCAGATATGACAAGGAAGTACCACCTAACCCGCGCCATCCTCACGGCTGTTAGGATTATGCCCACTGTGCGGCCACTGTGTCCATCCATCTCTTTGACGACCTTCCTCTTTTTCACTGCCCCTCCCCTTTCCAAGCATGATGACCTTTTCCAGGGACAATTCCCTCCTGATAACAGGGTCAAAGTACACAAGACAGCGTCTCGCCATCCTCTCAGTCTACTGCTGTCTGGCTTCCCGGCCTCAGGAAGCCCCTGGAGGAGCGCGCGTCTGTCCAACAGGGTCACCGCGAGGCAGAAGTGGCTCGAAGGCAGTAAAACCATTTCGTTTGGGGTTTGAGCCAGGTAAGGACAGCTAAAACTCAGGCGGCCTTTTCTCATGAGGAGAAATGACACAGACACAGGAAATGATGGAGGGAGTTTACCACAGTGAGATGACGGAGACAGATTTGATGCTTTTAGGGGCTTCAAGTTGACCTTGACTTTATCAAAATGTTTACTGAGCACCTACCACGTGCAGAATGGCCACATAACTGATCGTCTAAACTAAGGTTCAATACCAGTAATTATGACAAGACAGTGGGCAAATGTGGGAAAACCAAGACATACTGGCCAACCCGGCCCTGACCCCCCTGTCAGATAATATTAAAATGAATGGAAAAACCATGGCCACTGGCAGTAAGAACCCTCTGGTGTAGACCTTTGTCTTCAGGGTAACACTGTCTGCAGGTGAGCAGAACCAAGGAGCACAGGGAGTCGGAGCACGTTTCTACTGGTCAGGCCGCTCTTGTCCATAGGGACGCCATCCTGTCATGTAGCCTCAGATCATGCATCTCTATGGTGCTCGGCACAGAAACCACCCACTCTTTAGAAACTGCTTATTTGGAAAAATGACTCGCTTAGAAGCTTTTATAAATATCCACCAGAAAATACATGGACTAAAACTATTCCAGGAATTCTGCACACTGGCAAACGAAGAGAGACTGGACATTCTTCTCCCATTTTGGCTACTGAAACCATTCCTGATGAATTTCGGTGCTGGTGAATCATATGGACAGCACTGTGGACCAACAGAAGAAGTCCAGCCAGGAATCTCCTTAGAAGCGAGAATGGTGATGCTGGTAGACTGAGGGCATGCTATCAAAAACGGACAGTCCCTAGGAAGGGGCTTTGTCTTGGTTTAGTGAAGGTCCGTGAGAAAGAGCTAGACCCCAAATGAGCTGTACTGACAGGGACTGCATGCAACAATGGGCTCAAACATAAGCAACAATTGTCAGCATGACACACAACCGCGAAGGGGTTGATTCTGCGTGCGCGTGATCACTAAGAGTCAGAACTGACGACAGCACCTATCAAGAACAATGTTCCCATAAAACTCAGGACGTAAGTGGCACAATTGTCGTTACTCAAACCCTACCACTTTACAAATTCGCAATGGCTCCATGGCACAGACTCCATGAAAGTAAAGGGTATGGAATTTCTGGAAAACACTCACAGATAATCGCCATCAGAGAGTTAAAGTTGCCGATGTTGAAACACTCCCGAGCGACGTCAATGAAATACTCAATCATTCTTGCACGGTGCTTCTTCTTTACCGGCTGCCCAGGAAGAGAGACCCCAAAAAAGAGGGCAGTTATCTGACATGTCGGCCCAGCAGCTACACAATCAGCATGGGAAAACACTGTCAGAGGGGACACTGAGAAAAGTCATTGTCTCACCATGCAGATTTCTGTAGCAACCAAGTAGCTGAGGCGGTTAAACCACTCTACATAGGCTTCTAGATTCCGTGTTTTCTTCCGGTCGCTGTAGCAAGTCTGCAAAGAAAACACCATGGGAACATGAGTTGAAGAAATGCCACCCATCAGGCTCTACTTCTGTCACACACAGGCCTTTATTCTCAGTCTGTGGATTAGAAACGCTCCCTCGGACCCCCTTTTCCTCACAGAAGCCACAGGTACTCCCTGTTGTGGGGGAATCCCTGACGTCTGGACACGCAATCGGGCATCACTGTAAAGGTGCCCTGCCCGCTCAGGAAGCGAACTGACCCTCTGTCCTCAGAAACGCAATACACAGGCACCTGGGCTGAAGGATTTTTCTTTTTTTTAATCGTTTTATTAGGGGCTCATACAACTCTTATCACAATCCATACATACACCAATTGTACATGCGTCACCCTCATCATTGTCAAAACATTTGCTCTCCACTTAAGCCCCTGGCATCAGCTCCTCATTTTCCCCACTCCCTCCTCGCTGCCCATTCCCTCACGAACCCTTGATAATTTATAAATTATTATTTTGTCGGGGCTGAAGGATTTCTGTCAGCTTTTAAAAACTATCTTGACTCATAAACGGAACACCGACTGCTGGTCACCGCTGCAAGGAGGCCTAAGTGTGGAGGGGACTAAATGTAGTCTTAGGACATCACAGGAGGAAACGGTGAGAGGGCGTCAAGAAGTTGCTGGGACAAGGGCAAGGAAAGGATGATGGAATTTCCCCAGCAGCGTGTGAGGCACCGTGCCCTCATCCTCCATGGTAGAGCAATGAATGTCTCCAACATCACAGATTTTATCCAGTGGGTGATTGACTGTTCAAAGCACAAAGACTGAACCTTAGCAAGAAGTGGAAGGCCAGGCTTAGATGGGTTCATGCCAGCCCTCTTTCCTTCCTTCCTTTCTCCACTAGTCTCCTATTGCAAAATGCTTGCTTCACTTCCTGTCTTTGGGGAAACCGTTGGAAGGCAGGAAGACAGCTGTGGCCCCACTCGCAGAAAGGACCTTTCACCAGTAGGTGATGCAATCTGCCTGACGACTCAGCATGCTTCTAGAAGTGGCTAGGAAAAGAGTTCTTATGTATATAAGCTGGCATTAAGTCTAAACCTGGTATTATGTTCCTAACACGTGGGCTTCACTTTCAAACAAGAGGCCAGCAGTAAAGCCCCTTGCTTAGCAAGCTGGATGTGCGTCCAGTCTCACTGCCCTGCTAGTACTGAATCACGTGCAGGACAGTCTCTTTCTTGCCGACTTAATCTGCTAAAGCCAGTATGCTTTCATCTCCTGCTTTCGTCGCCACAAATGCCTGCCTCTACTTGTTGCGGAAGACATTACATTTCCCAGTGAGGGGCAAGGAGAGGCTAAATGCTGGCTATGGGGTAAGAATATCGTAAAGCTACTTGGAAACCTTCCTCAAGAGAAGAAATAGCAATGAATCAGACATTTAAAACCTGGAACAGAACAGCTCTGACTCTTAAGGACTTCCATTTCTAGTTCTGGAGTTACCTGCAAGTAGACTGATAGGCTTTACCTTGTCATTGTCCAACGGGTCCTTCTGTACAAATGCTTGAACGAATTCTTCTGGCCCAATATAATTAAGCCTCTCCTGAAACCCAAACCAGAAGGTCAATAGGATTAAGAGAAATTGGGAACAGAACAGACAACTTCCTCTATTGACTGCTAGCGTCCTTATAAAAGGCTTATAAAATCAATCCTTAACCCCAATATTTTCATCACCTTTGAAAATGATGGGCAGGGGCACTTTTCTGCTTTGGTCAGTGCTGCACGAGGTACTGAAATAATGCGTGAATGAGGGAATAATAGGAGTTCCTGAGTGGTGCAGATAACATCGTCGGCTGTTGACCATAAGGTCTGAGGTTCAAATCCACCCAGAGGCCCCTCTACAGAAAGGCCTGAGAAGCTACTTACCAAAAAAAAACCCCAGCCCCTGCAAACTCTTGGGAACCCACTCTTTCCCTGACACACTAGGGTTGCCATCATTAGTGGATCTGGACTTGAAGAAACTGGCTGAGGGAATAATGGGAGGGGTAAAACGAGGAAAGTCAACACAAGCTCTTTGCTCTTCAGGTCTTGTCTGTGGTCTTGCTTCACATTTGTTTTACAGCGTATTCACAGAGCTTCCAGAAGTGTTGCACTCACATATCTAAATACACGTTCCAACTGCCATGTAGATTATTTCCCGTGTGGATCACTCTCACCTTGACCCTGGCCATGATTGCTGACAACCACACTGGTTGCCAAAGCAAACCAAATCTGGAGTTTATGGTAAAGGGCCAGAATGATAACCGCCTTACCAGTTCTATGTGAGTCAGCTGCTGGGCCAAAGTGTAAGGGTCGCTGCAGATGGTAATGATGTCCCGTTGAACGACCTGTGGCTTGGTCCTGAGAACCGTGAGTCGGTCCGTGGCGGTGGCGCTGATCTTTGCCAGGACTTCCTCGTACTGGCTGAGGGCAGCAAGCTTGCGGAGCAGACACTGGATCATCTGTTGCACATTCTTGCGATACGCCTGCCAGGGCAGAAACACGGGATGAGAGTCGAGCGCCGCTGCGCGTCGGGGTGTATCGCTTTGTAGTCCCAACTCCTGTGCCCTGATATAAGAGAACTGCCATGGGGTCCACAGCAGTTAGAACAGGATTCAACCCAGCACGAATGGTTTAAAAGAGATGCCTTGGTTCAGCTTTGACCGTGAACACATTATAAGGATGGTTTAGATTCACTAGCCAGTAGTGGAGTAGGAGGCTACAGTGAGCTGCTAACCCCAAGGTCAGTGGTTTGAACCCACCAGTCACTCCTGGGGAGAAAGAAGAGGCTGTCTGCTGCCGTAAAGATTTCGTCTTGGAAGCCCAAAAGAAGAGTTCTACTGTGTCCGACAGGGTCATGTTGAGTCAGAATTGATTCATTGGCAGTGAGTTTGGTTTGGGTTTTGGACTGCAGAAATCAAGTATAATGAGAATTATATATAACTAAATTTTCTCTGGGCCAATTTAGAAATGTATCCGTTTATTTTTGGTGAGGTAAGATGCATTCATATCATGTCAGAATAGTCATTTCCAAATGTTTGTTTGTTTCCCCAAATGTTTTTAAGGTAATCTTCTTCACCTCTCCAATCCTATAAATCCCAATCCCACTAGTCCAAGGACATGGTTGGGTCAGACCACCTTTACTTCCTAGCCCTGCCACCCCCACCCAGCCACCTGCCTGACTTGCACAGTTAGGAAGTTCATGCATTGCCATAAAGAAAGAGCAGATAGCTTGTCATCTGATGTCTATTTGGCTCACACCCACTTCTTGTGAAGTCATGAGCCAAGACGAATATTCACGGTCAAACTCTTCCCCCATGGCACTTGCCTGAGTAATGCGATGACCAGCTGTCACTGGACTTGCTACTTTACTTTGCTGTCATCACAACCCTCCAGACAGACGACTTTTGAAAAGCACTGCAGATATTCTGGGTAAGCAGTAGCCATTTACCTTTAAAAACACCTCTAAAGTCAAAGAAAAGACTCCATAGCCAGTCAATTCCAAGGCTCCATTAAAACAACAACTCTCTCCTCTACAGCACGGAGCAAAACTTCACCTGCTGATTTTCACGGCTGTGTGAATATGGGGCAGGCAGCTCATCTTCCTCCTAACCAGCAACTGGGAGGTTCAAACTACTGGCCTTTCAGTCGGCAGTCCATAGTGGAACAGCCTCTAAGACCACAGGGCCTCTTTCCAAAGCTATAGTAACCATGATATAGGTTATGGGGGCTACTGTGTTTTCCCCTAACAAGCACAGACATGGAAGGAGGCTTGGTGGTGTAGTGGGTTAGGTATTGGGATGCAAACCCACAAGGCCAGCAGTTCAAACCGACCAGCCGCTCTACAGGAAAAAGGATGAGGCTTTCTATTCCCAGAAAATGTTAGTCTTGGAAACCCCAGGAGGCAGTTCTATTCTGTCCTACAAGCCCCCTGTGAGTTGGAATCGGCTGGGTGGCAGTGAATGAGTTAGAGACAGACGTTGACAAACAAACCACAAAGGTTCCTTTTGGGTCGGGGGCAGTGCTCACAGACAGAGGCAAACAGGCTGAGTCAGGCCGAGTTCTCCTGACAATGCGGTCCTGAGGTTAATAGCACCACGGGATGGCAGACACAGTGAATTTATTGTTGTTAGTCATGGTCAAGTTGGCTGACCCACGATGACCCCACGTACAACAGAACGAAATGCTGCCATGTCCTGCGCCACCCTCCCTGTCCTAGGTCTGTCAGGGTCCACTGTTTCAGCCACCATGTGTTTTGAACACTTTCTCACCCAACCTAAGGGGCTCATCATCCAGCACTACAGTGGACAATATTCTGTTCTGAGCCATAAGGCAATCCTTTGGCTACTTTTTAGAAGTAGATTGCCAGGCCTGTCTTTCTAGTCTATTTTGGTCTGAGAATTGCTGAAACCTGTCCATCGGGGTGACCCTGCTGTATCGAGAAGACCAGTGGCACAACGTGCAGCATGGGAGCAACATGCAGCCACCAGAGAACCACAAAGTGATGGCACAGGTGGTGGTCAGTGAACGTTACAAGGCTTAGGTGTGCGCTCCACACCTTAATCAGCTATTCGAAAGACATGGCAACATAATTGTCTGAGATCAGTCATCTGGAAATCAAATAACACCTTACCAGGAATAAAAAGTACACAAAAGCATAAACACACATATACATTTAACAGGGACACATTAGTTTACCTGACCATATTACCAAATGTTATGAGATGCCAAACGAACAGGCATTTGCATACTGAAGCCAAGCAAACTGACAGCAACATCTAGTAATGGTTAATTCTCCCAGAGTCAAATTTCAGGAATGAACAAACAAAACAACATAATGAGCCTCCCTCCTTTTCTTCTCCACTTGTTTGGATACTCCACTGAGCACTTAAACCGGCCCACTGGAAGACATTTCCCTGTTCATCTCTGTCGGGTAAACGTTGGACAGCTAACTCATGTCTGCATTCCAAACCTACCAACTACTCCAAGAGAAAGATGAAGCTATTTGTCCCCATAGAGAATTACCTGTGCAGGGTCAGACTCGACCCAATGGCAGTGGGTTTGGTACTGCCGTAGACACAGTGGCAGACACAGTGCCTATACAACTATACAGCAACTATACAATCACTTATGAAATGCCTACGTGCTTAAAGAAGTTGGGTTTCCAAAACCATTATCCTCCACATACCAGGTTAAAAGATGCTGTCTATTTGATAATATGCTTATCACTCAAGAAAAATGCCTCTTTGGAATGTCAAGTTGCTCATATTTGAGTTGAGGACTACTTAAAAATCCCTCGCTCTTATTCCTCCACCTCTTTTATTTTCCACACTTTGAGTTATAACCAGTCCCTTATCTCCAATAAATGGACTTGAGTCAGAGCTGCGTTATTAAAATTATGCATATATTCCCAGTATACTCAACATGAAGGCTTTCACGAAGGTGGTTTACTTACAGCAAGTGCCATCCAGAACCAAAAGTGCAGTGTATGAAAGTGAAGTTCACAGTTACTAAAGTCTGTTTACAAAAGCAACTTGCCTCTGTTGTTATCTTAATACCTGACTAACCATCGTTTGACATGGCTAGGGGGATTATCTTCTTATTTTATTTGAAAACAATCACTTTATTGGGGCTCTTCTAACAATCCATACATCGATTGTGTCAATCACATTTGTACATGTTACCATCACCATTTCCAAAATAGGAATTATCTTCTATAGTAAGTTTTAAAGAGAAAATTTCTGAATTTTCTATCTAAGAATTTCATTTGATTGTTTCCAACAAAATAATTATTGGAGTGTGGGGTGGGGTGTGACAGGCAACCAGATTGCTGTGCAATAATTCAGAGAGAAAGCTTTTTGTATGACAAGAAGTACACATTCCTGGCAAATGTATTTTCCCTGGGATCCTAGGAAGAAAGGAAGGATGCAAGGAGTCAGGATGATAAGGTGCTTGGAACCACTGATGAAGTCTAGGGCAATGGATGAGGTTTTTAAATAAGTTGTTAGTGGCTTTTGAGTGAAAAGAACATTTTTTCCTCGATAGGAAGGAAGATATCTCCCTCAATGGAATGGGTCAGTTTATCTTCATAATGTTTTCAAGAGCCAAGATGGTGCAGATATGGCTAACCCTTTTTTTAGTATGCAAGAAAACATTGAGTCACTTAATTTTCATCTGAATATTTTAAAAGATTTCGAAGTGGGGTATTTGCCCAAGTAAAGGGGTCTGGGGAGTCTGTTTACCGAGTGCCATAGAGATAGGTGATCTGAGACTAAATAATAGGATTACTTCCCTATGGGCAAGAGAGCAGCCTGAGAAACTGAAATGATCTCTGATTGCCTGTGCTCCTGCACTACTGATCATTTGTAGCCCTTGTTACCTGTCTTACGGTCTTCCAGAGAAGCAAACCAGTGAAGTGTCTCCTTTACGTCAAAGGGAGAGAGAGAGGGGTTTACATCAAGGAAATGGCCTGGCAGAGGTAGACAAGTTCTAAGTCGGTGGACCAGATGTCAGGTTGAAGGCTTCTCCTGACCCTCAAGGCTATAGGGCTGAGGGACCCACGATCGGCAGGTCAGATGGCAGGCTTCTGGCCACAGGTGTGCATGAATCCAAGGTAGGTAGTAAGGTAGATTTGCGGCTGCTGATAACTTCCAGGACTGACAGGTAATACGGCAGACCGCTGACCCAAGTCAGAGGTCAAATAACAAGCTAGATGCAGGATCCAGACTTGCCAAAAAACAAACAAGCTTTTCACAGCTACTTGAGGGTAGTCGCTGAGAAGTAGTGAGTAAGACAGGTAAATGAGGACAGGCAGCAGGCTCCCCATCCCCATTCTGATATCACTGGTCTGGGGCGCAGCCTAGGTATTAACAGGAGGGGCTTTTAATAATACATTCATGGAAAACGGAACTAAAAGATAGAATTCCCCACCCTCCAACTTTCTGAAGGTCCCACTTATGTCAATACTGTCCAGATGATCCTGATAAGCTGCAAAGTGGGGAGACTAGTGCTCTCTGTACAGAACATGTAGCACAGGGGGACAAAGGCTTTTATTCTGCTCTTTGCCGTGGCTGCTGCCAGGTCGATTGCAGCTCATGGAGAAACCAAGCATGCAGCAGAGAGCTGCTGGGACCTTTCGGAAGCAGAGCCCCAGGTCTGCTTCCAAGGTCCCTCTGGGTGGATTCGAACGATCGACTTTGCAGCTGGTAGTCAAGCACTTCCTGTTTGCACCATCCAGGGACTGCTTCTCCCTCAGCACCTTGCTTTTCTCAGGGAGGACACAGAGGGAATGCACTCAAGCAATCAACTCCCAAGAAGCTGTGAGTGGGCAGAAACAGCAGCAAACTGCTAGGGGAAATGTGCCGGAGCAAACCAAACCGCACTCAGCCGTCAAGTCGATTCCGACTCACAGTGACCCGCTACGACGGGCTAGCACTGTCCCTGGGACTGGAACTCTATGGGAGTAGAAAGTCTTGTCTTTCTCCTGGGAGCAGCTGGTGGTTTCCAACTGCAGACTTTGCAGTGTGCAGCCAGCCAGCAAGTAACGACTATGTTGCGAGGGCTCAGCTATTCAAATGATAGCCAAGAACCAGGGTGGTGGTGGTGGTGGTGGTGGTGGTGGTGGTGGTGGTGTGTGTTGGAGAGAGAAAACGAGAATGGGTGAGACCTCTTTAAGTCTCTTGCTGACATCTGATTTCATTAGCGAACCACGCTTCATGTTGTTAAGCGTGCTTCTTCACCGAGTCATGCATTGCTAAATATGCACTTATTCTTTTTTATAACTTCAAATGCCAGTGGCAGTAATTACCTGGCAAATAAAGATAGAAGCTCTTATTACAAAGAGCAGCCCCATAAGGAAGAGAAAAGTGCATTCCACCCACTGTGGTCATTCGTCATGTCATTCCATCATTAGTATTATCTTATGTTTCTTGCAGGCAAGTCCTCATAAACCACTTCATTTTAGGCAAAGCCCGGCAGGGGGAGGGGGAGGGGGTTATTAAGCCAAATTATGTGGCACAGGAATAGCAAATTCAGAAGAACCTGACTAAATTATATACAGGGTGCACCTGGATTCACGCAGTGCCAAAAACAAATCCCGAAAGTCCCCAGCAAGAAGCAACAAGTCCCACCTCAAGCCCACACTCCTGCCAGGGGATGGAAATAGGTTTTTCCGGTTCTAATGAGTGATTCATCGGTTTGTTCCTGTGTTTATCCTATCGTCTAGTCATTCATTCATTCATTCATTCATTCATTCATTCATCGGTCCAAATACTGCTGGGTGTCTACGGTGTGCCGAGCTAGGGAATCGGTGGAATGCAAGGAAAGCACAGAAGCACAGCCAGAAGTACAGAGGGGGGCGAGGAGGGGCGGGGACCATCAATAAGTCTCTCATTACTAAGTGCAGGGCACTGCAAAAGAAGCTGTGTCCTAGTGGTGAAAGCCAGCATGGGGGTGGGGCAAGATCGACTTTGCATCAGCAGGAAGAGCTTCCCCGAGGAGACAAGGAGACACACTTAAACCTGTCGGAGAGAAGAAGCCTGCTGAGCTGAGAACCCAGGCCAAGCATTTACCGCCCAACTGTAAAACTCAAAGGGACATACACAGAAGGCAGATCCCTCTAGAATTTATAGAAATGGGGAAATCAAGGAGAGAGAAATCATGTTCGATCAAGGGTCCGTGACACAGAGGAAGACCCTCAAGAGATGGGTGGACACAAGGGCTACCACTCTGGGCCCTAGCACAGAAGCATGTGAGGGCGGTGCTGGCCTGGGAGCAGTGTGCTCTTCTGGTATGCACAGGGTGCCGCGAGTCAGAACTCCCTGAACAGCAGCAGCAGCAGCAGCAGCAATCACAGCAGGTGTCCTGGAGTCCGCATAGGGGCATCTTGGCTTCTTAATACCTGCAAGAGGGCTTTTGTAGCTAATTTACCCCAAACGATGCATCCTTTGAATGCATGGCTGCTGCTGCTTCCCTGGGCGTTGATCGGGGATCTAAGGAAAATGAAATCCTTGACCACTTCAGTTTTTCCTCTGTTTATCTTGATATTGTTTATGAGGGGGGCTTCCAACATTTCCTGGAAAATGGAATCTGAAAATAAGAGAAATTTTCCACGGACCTTTGGAAGTCCTCTTCTTGGTGCAGTTAGGAGGATTTGTGTTCATTATATTGAAGTCTAATCCCTCCTGAGGGCTGGGGTCTTTGCCATTTGCTCTTCAGCAGTAAGTACGGAGTTCACGCCCTTTCATCAAGCGAGATTGTGTCACCTGCATATCGCAGGCTGTTGATGGGCTTCCTCTAATCCTAAAGCTATGGTCTTCTGCACACGGCCCAGCTTCTCAAATCAGCTGAGCAGCTTAAAGGGTGAATACCCTGATGAAAGGACACAACCTTTGCAAATGTGAAACCATGCAGTAACCCCATGTTCTACTGGAACGGCCGCTTGACCAACGTAAAAGTTCTGCCTGAGCACAATTACGTTTTCTGAAATTCCCACTCCTCACAATGACATCCCTCATTCCACATCCTCTTCTGAATCCAGTTTGAATTTCTGGAAGTTCCTGTTGATGCCCCACTGGAACTATCTTTGAATTATCTCTGGTAAAATTCTATTTACATGTGATACTAATCATACTGTTCGATAATTTCCTCAGTGTGTTGGATCCTCTGTCTTTGCAAGGGCCATAATCACGAATCCTCCAGTTGGCCAGGGAGCGCTCTTTCAAACCCCTTGGCACCGATGACTGAGGACCTCTCGCGCTGCACTTGTCTACTGAAACACCTCGGTTGGTTCTCTGTCAAATCCTGGAGCCTTGGTTTTCACCTGTGGCTTCAGCGCAGCTTGGATTTCTTTCCGCATCATTGCGTTCTTACTGCACGTCACCTTTGGACATGTTGTCAGGAGAGACCAGCTGTCAGAAAAAGGAAATGGAAACAGTCCCCGGAGAAGGACATCGTGCTTGGTAAAACAGAGGGGCAGCGAAAAAAGAGGACAGTTCTTAACAGGCTGAAGTCAGGAAAAGCGCCGAGCAGAAGCTTTCGAAGGGCAGCTCAAGAGGACACGGTAGAGGTGTAGCATGAAGTGTGCAGGGACCTAGAGTTAGAAAATAGCAAGGGAAGCACAAGCCCAGTATTTTTCTTCAGTTGAAGTGAGTAAGAAACCCGGGCCTGGAGTGGCAATCCTGAAGTATTTCTGGGGCAAAATAGCGAACACTGCAGGGATCATCAAGCCATAGGCAGAAGAAGCCGTAGGCAGAGTCACTGCACTGAAAAGAATTGCTGGACGTGCAACCACTTCAAGAGGTGTTGTTGCGAGGTGCCGTCGAGTCGGTTCTGAGTCACAGTGGCCCTATCTTCAACAGGACAAAACACTGCCCGGTCCTGCACCAGCCTCACAACTGTTCTTAGGTTGGAGCCTGTTGTGACAGCCACTGTGTCTCTCCTTCTTTCTTGTTGTCCTTCCATCTCCTCTGTGAGGAAGAAACCTGGCCCCTTACGCCCGGCTGGAATCTGCAGTTGGCAAACACGCACGATGATTATAACAGTCCTAACTTGCAAAATGACTCAGGAACCCACTCATTTAGCCTTGTAGAAATAATGGCTGCCTTGGGCACCAGGGTTAAATATCATGTTGTAAGAGAGCAATCATGCGCTAAGACATCAGACAGCGAAGCCAACTGGAAATTTTTCGACCACTAATTTTATGTATGATTTTGGCCTGGTTGTTTCCCCTTCTCTTTGTCTCTCTCTCTCTCTCTCTCTCTCTCTCTCTATGGCAGGTGGAAGTGGCATTAAGGTGCATTCACAAGACGCAAAACGAATAAAACGAATAGAGAGCGCGTCTTGTTACATCGTCTTGAAGACACACCACGGCAAGGGTGAGCTCTTAAATGAAGATTATTCCAATTGAGAAAACGCATTCCTAAGACCAACGAAACAGGACATCATTGCCACTGCCAAATGCTTCATCTCCTTTTCATGGAATGATGTTGCACCCGTGCTGAAGTAGCTGCGCCGAGGAGCTCAGCAGCAGCACAGAAACTACAAAGACATCCTTGCCCAACAAGCCTCAACACAGAATACCAGCCCTCCAGGCCTGCTTCAAAGAGGATAACCTTGACTTTGTTACAGCGAGTTAGCGCTTATCAAAGGCTCCGTTGAAGGAAGTGATATTTATGGAAGATTAGCTCAGAGACTTGTTTTCCATCGCAAGATATTCTCAGTGCTAGCCAGGAGTCAACTTCCGCGCCAGGATCATTTTCTTTTTGTCTTCTCCTCCCCAGAGGAATCACCTTTGCCAGATTATGCATTCATCTTCTGGCCTCAGCTCTTATCAAGGGGAACTTTTCGTGAACACTTTAAGGAGCACTTTCTGTGACCTTATTATATGGCCGATGGGCAATGTCCCTTATAAGACAGTTTTTAAATCCCATCGAATTCAGCTCCCTGAAGAAAGCTTTCTGTTTTTCTGATAGACTTATGCAAAAACTCCATAGCCTTTTCATTCCATTTTCCCACAAACTTTTCGAGATCCCGTCATCTGTCCAACTGTGTCTGCCCATTCGTTAGAGTTCACACACCAATCACAGAGCCCGACTGGCTCTCAAGATCAGTATATTTGTTTTGACCTTGGCTTAAACTAGAGACTCTATGAGTATTTGTATTTCTGACTTACTAATATATGATTTAAGGAGCTCTGGTGGCAGAGAGGTTACATGGATTGCTAACCACAAGTCAACAGTTCCAAACCACCAGCAGCTCCATGGGAAAAAGATGAAGCTTTCCACTCCCACAAAGAGTTTCAGTCTTAAAATCCCATAGGGGCAGTTCTACTCTGTCCTATAGGGCCGCTATGAGTTAGAATCGACTCAAGGGCAGTGGATTTAGAATATGTGATTTATTATGTATTAGCACACAAATATGTTATCTATTTTATGTATGTTATCTAACTGCACTGCGGTTAAGTCCTGCTGAGTCAGTGTCATGAGACCTGCCCACCCTGGGTGACCCTGCCAGTATTCACAATACCAGTGCAGCAACGCACCGTACACAAGCCACCAATGCACCGTACACAAGGCGATGAGTGAATGGTGCCGTTATTTAACTATCTGTGTCCAAACCTTATTAAGAAAGAAAGATGTAAGTAGAGTAAAAGCAAAACACGCTTACAACATGACTCTTGGGCAGGAATTGACATGAACATACCCTAAATTAATCACTTATAATTTGAGATCATAGCCCTTTGAAGTAGGAAGATAGAATCATCCCCATTTGACATGCCAGACAGACCAATCTGTTACACAGAGAACTCGCCAGAAGGCAAAGCAGAAAGCAAACAGTGGAGAAGCTGATGCAAAATCCAGCCTCATTTCCCACCAAGACTTGGCCTGGGAATTCAAGTGCTGTGGGCTCAGCACAGGTTACCAACCTCCTCGCCACTCGTTATCCGGTGAGCCAGATCTTTTAAGTTTCTCATTACTCGTTCATCCCGAAAGTCGTAAGGAAAGGTCTCCGTCCATTCCGTCAGGAGTTGAAGGATTTTAGGTGCAATTTTTCTTATCTGGTTCTAGGGAGAAAAAGCAAATCGAATTCAGTGCTGTCTGATCCCTGCTCTACATCAAGGAAACAATAAACAACAACACCACCGAGAGATTTCTAGTGCAGTTTGGGTCTAACAGAGTTCCAGCCTCCCAGTGGCTTCATTGGCAACGCCAAGTGTCATAATTGAGGCAGGATCAAGGTTTTATAATCCAAGGAGGGGGTCAACGAGTTTGGGGGACAATTTCACTATCTTCTCATTCCATTTGTCATGAACTTTTTGAAGCCCAGTGCGCATTCCTCACTCCCTTTGCGTGGTTCACTGCTACTGAATCAGCCCCAACCATGGAAATTGGTCACAGAATAGAACTGCTCCACAGAGTTTCCTTGGCTACAGCCATTTTGGAGAGAATTTGCCAGGCCTTTCTTTCACAGTGCCCTTGGGTATGCTCAAACTGCCAGCCTGTTTAAGCTAGCAGCCACAAACTACTTACACCCGCCTAGGCTGGAAGAGAGATGGATTAGATATACAAGGGTTGCTTAGAGGACCGGACATTGCAAAACTAAGCCATGGCGTTACTAAGCTTAACAGAGGGGGCAAAACCAACAACCCTGCAATATTCAAAAAGTTTCATTACCTTATCATTGCTAGGATCACTTGATCTCTGGTGTTCAACACATAGGTGGCAAACCTTGGCCATTAGCTCAGATGGATGCATAAATAACCGAGAACTGAGTAGGAAGGTGAATATGTACGTCCTCTGTGGCAAGAGAAAAAGAGTGATCGCGGTTAGATTGGCTCTGAAGGGAATCCCCCCTCGTTCTAATCTCCCGTGTCTCTTACTTTGTTACATTCTCTCGAGCGAAGAGAAGAGGCTGCAGTTTCAGAATGGTGCAGACTAATGAAAAGCATATTTAAAAAAACACAGCAGCTCAAGATGTAGATGTCCTTTACTCTCTGCTCTTTTCCATTCAGCCACCCTAAAAATAACCAATGTGCAGGACAAGTCTGGCGCCTGCAATTGCGCGGCGCACTTTTCCACGCCCATCCTCGGGGAGCCCACAGACCAGAACATGTAACTCGCTCTGGTGAAGTCGAATGGAATTCGGCCCAAAGAGACACATCTAACTGAAATATAGACCCATACAGTCTGCTTCTGGTCCAAAGATGATGGGAGATCAATGGAAACCCCTCCCCCTCAAAACAAAAGGAAACGTTTCCAGGGTGGCCAGAGTAACACACTGGCGTGTTTGTGTTCAAACACTCCATAGGCAGGCTTTCCGGTCATCTGTTCGCTGGCTCAGACAGAGGTCCAGCCACGTGAGAAAGCATAATAAAACACTGTATACTTTTCTTTAACCACCCTGTCTATCCAGAAGCCAGTAATGAAGCCGTGCTTATTGGTTAGATGAGTTTCAGACTCCCAATGAAAAGAGAAATTCCATGGGGCTTTATTTACTTATTTTTCCTTAGGCGCCATAAGTAGCACATAAACACTTAACAGGACTGAACAAGGGGTTCTTTTTACTTTGATTGCAAGGTTGTCCTGCCTGGCAACAGACTCGAAAATGCTGAGTACCAAATCACACACAGAAGAGAGGTAAGCCCGTCAGGAACATCATGGACAGTTAGGGGGCAAGGCCGCCATTACTATCCGAATGCAAAAATACAAGTGTGACATCCGGATGTCTTTTTGGGACATTATCAGCAGCCAGCTGCTTACTAAAAGGCCTCACACTGTAATGCTCAACTCCACAAGGGCACCCGAAGCACCAGGGAGGGAAAAAGAGAGCCGCAGCCGCCTGCCCCGGAGACAGAACACCATGTTTGAGGGTGCACCCTGGGAGGAAGACCAGGTACAAATAACTCAACACTCTGAATTGCACCCCTGCCTCCCCCACCTTTAACCTCAGAAATATTGTCAAGTTTGAGGAAATGAGTACAACTATCTTGAAACATCTTTATACACTTTAGTGCAAAAAGTCCAACTATAGTTATCCTAACTAAACAAATGTAGGCTAGCGCAGTAAGACATATGTGAACCTGTTAATGAATATGCTCAAACTTCAAAGAGCTGTTTCTCGATACAAGCCCTGTTCTCTCTTCTATGTCCCTACCTTCCCTGGCTAATGTCGCTGTCTTCAATGATAGCCTTAGGGACGCAACTCAAGAATTCAACATTCTAAGAGGATTAACTGTTCTCTAAGGAACAATAAATATGCCATCGAGTCGATGTGGACGCAGTGACTATACAGGACAGGGTAGAACTGCCCTTGTGAGTTTCCGAGACTGGAGTCGACAGCCCCATCTTTCTCCTGCGGAGCGGCTAGTGACATTGAACTGCTGACCTTACAACTAGCAACCCAGCTCATAACCACTACGCCACCAGGGCTCCCCAAATACAAATATAAGGCACTTCCTTTAGGGGCCGTCTGACTTCTTTCATATGGTGCTAGCTGCCTGGAAACGCATCATGATATTCAGACAACCACATCTGATCCATACCCTGGCGGCCACTCCCTCTAGAGGCTCTCGACACCACCACTGCACAACTTCTTATGACAACAATTCCAGCGACCTACATGTAATTCGGCAGTGTCTATGGAACACGATACCTACATCTGGATAGTAATCCACATTTGGAACTAAGTGCTGGATGAGTGCTTCCAGAGATCCGGAGAGGAGGTTGTTGTCATGGTAATACAACCCTCCACAGCTGTCCTCAGCCGACGACGACGGGTAGAGGTTTCGGTTGTAACCACTGCTGTCAAACATAGCTGAAAAGGGAGGCGTCTGAGGCATGCTTTCCTAAAAGAAATAGGTGGGGGGGGGGGGGGGACAAAAATGCAATGTCAGCAATATGCAGCACAAAAAGAGGAATAAGCTTTCTTTGAGTAAGGACTAAACCTTAGTAATTTGGGAACCATAAAAAAGTAGTTGAAGTTCTAATACAATGTTAGGGGCCAAAGAGAACCACATTGCTCTTCAGGTAAAACACATATGCCTGTTTGTGAGTGCTAACGTTGTCGAATTAAACACCATAAAATGTTTAGACCAAAGGATATGAGCTGGACTTCAATGTAAGTTTCTGGCTACCATATTTAGATATCAACTTTATGCAATCCTGGAATCGCTTTCTCCCAGAGTCCGAGACGTTACGAAGGTGTTAGGGTTAGGTGCCATTCCATCAGTTTGGCTTCCTATCAGCCCTCCGCAACACGGAAGGGAACACTATGCCATCCTCACAACCGGTGAGCCCACAGGTAAAGCCACCCTTTCAACCCATCTCCTCCGGGTCGTCGCCATTTTCATTGGCTCTCTACCAATAGGAAGTCCTTTCCCAGGGACTGGTGTTTCTCTCTCTCTCTCTAAATCATTTTATTGGGGGGGGGGCCTCTTACAGCTCTTAAAACATTCCATACATTCATGCACCAAGCATATTTGTACATGTGTGGCCATCATCATTTTCTAAACGTTTACTTTTGGTCTCTCTTGATAAAATGTCCAGAGTCTGTGAGATGAAGTCTTGCCATGCCCACAGCTAGGGAGCATTCTGGTAAGTACTTCTTCCAGGTCAGATCCGTGTGTTCTTCTGACAGTCTGTGTGCGGTACTTTCAGTATTCTTCACCGACATCACCATTCAAATGCATCTTCCCCAGTCTTCATGATTCACTGTCCGGTTGTTCATGCAGTTTGCTATGGCAGGAGATGTGTACGGGAAGAAACTGCGATAGTTACATGTCCACCGTCCCTGGGTGGTACACATGGTTAAGGCTCATGGCTATTAACTGGAAGGCTGGTGGTTTGAGTCCGCCCACTGCTCTTCTGGAGAACAGCCTACCAGTCTATTTCTCCACACATGGCTGCATCTGTGGGCTCCAGTATGTGGGCCATTATGAGGATAGCACAGGACTGGGCAGTGTTTGTTCTGCTGCATACAGGGTCCCTATGGGAGGGAACCAACAGGGCAGCACCTAACAAGAACAATGACCTAGTTAAAATAGAGCATATGTGCATTAGCGAGACAGAGAGAGAGAGAGAGAGAGACTCCCATCTGTGTGTGCAAATGTCTCTAAGAAGCTTGCGTATCTGTGTCAGCGGATTTAATGCATCATCCAGACTCCCCAATTTTCACCGCACGATCAGATGCTGTGGGTTTTCAACCCTTTGTGTGAAAGGCTGTGGAGCAGGGGTGGAGAGAGCCCCAGGTCTCAGTAAACATGCTGGCAGAGAAGGCACCTGATTTGGGGAACAAGTACTGTGACAGACCCCAGTTGCCATTCTCCATCTGTGTCCTGCACAACCCAGGAAGCCCTGTCAGAGGGTGCTCAGTGGAGGCCGGAGGCGATTAAGTTATTCCTGGGACAGAGCACCCGGCCTTGAGAACAGACTCCCCGGTTTGGTTTCTGGCAATGTGTCTGGACAAAGGAGGCATTCAGACGCTGCCCAGACCACGGGATTCAGAAGGCCAACAATGCGGGTGGCAACAAGGCGCGTGGAGGCTGCAGGAGGACACAACCAGGGCTAATCCTTCTTTCCAAGATGCCTAAAGATATTTGCATCAGAATGGGGGCGGGCTGTGGAGCTGGGTCTAAGAAGTCACAACAGTCACTCGGAGCGCATCTGTTCCAGTGAATGGGGGAGGGGGCAGGGCAGAAACCACACCGTGCACACGTGCCTGGGTGGGAGGCAGCCAAGGATGCAGTGTTGGGAAACTGGCTATGGGGCGGATGTGGCAGGGATAGCTTCATTTAGGAAATCGGTAGCAGGAAATGTAAATGCGGCGGGGGTGGGGGGTGAGTGGGCAGTGGGCGGCGGGAGACAAAAATCTTCCGCTCTTTATATGCTATCCCATCCACAAACCAGAGCTGAAGGAGAAT